GTTGTGTTTGTGTATGTGGTGTGTGTGTGTTGTGTGTTAGTGTTTGCAGTGTGTGTGTTGTGTTAGTGTATGTATTGTGTGTGTTGTGTAAATGTGTGATCTGGGGGAGGGGGAGGAAGGGGCATTTTAACATAAATTTTTAATTAATTTAATTAAATGTTTCTCCCCCCTCCCTGCTTACCTGTATCCAGGGAGGGGGGAGCTTCCATCTGTGGTGGCCCGGTGGCATGGGGGCCCTCCCGGCTCCCTGTTACCGTCCGCAGAGGGGGCCCTGGCAGCACACATCTTCTCCTCCTCTCTGCTCTCTCCTCATAACTCTCGCTAGACCCGCGGAGCGTTGCCATGGTAACCGGGTCTCGCGAGAGTTATGAGGAGAGAGGAGAGGAGGAGAAGCTGTGTGCTGCCAGGGCCCCCTCTGCGGACGGTAACAGGGAGCCGGGGGCCCGCGGCTGCACACATAGATAGCGAGATTCGCTACCTATGTGTGCAGAGAAACAAAGTGGGGCCCAGGACTGCCAGAGCAGTCCGGGCCCCCCAGGGCCGCCGGGCCCGTGACAACAGTCACGGTTGTCACCCCCTGATGGCGGCCCTGCCCAGACCACTTCAGCTTACTGAAGTGGTCTGGGTGCCAGGTCCAGCTAGGGTTAACCCTTTTTTTTTTTATATAAACATAGCAGTTTCATAGAAACTGCTATGTTTATGTTAGGTTAATCCAGCCTCTAGTGGCTGTCTCTTGACAGCCGCTAGAGGCGCTTGCGTGCTTCTCACTGTGAAAATCACAGTGAGAAGACGCCAGCGTCCATAGGAAAGCATTCCGAATGAGACTGTCAGAATGCGCGCGCAGCTCCTGCCGCACATGAGCATTCAGCCGAAGAGGAGGCGGAGAGGAGGAGGAGAGCTCCCCGCCCGGTGCTGGACAAAGAGGTAAGTTTAACCCCTTCCTCCCCCCTCAGTGTCACGAGAGTGGGACCCTGAGGGTAGGGGCAACCCCTTAGGGCACTATAGTGCCAGGAAAACGAGTATGTTTTCCTGGCACTATAGTGGTCCTTTAAGTCTCACGGCTGTTTGGCTTGAATCCAATGGCTTAACCTGGAAACTGCTTGGAGGGTGATGAATTTAATTCTAGCCTCCGATATTATCTGCATTCCTTTGCCTAACAGCCTAGTAAACTTTCATTAAGGAGTCTGCCTTTCTGGTAATCCTTGACTAAGATTTAGTATTAATCCATACTGAAACATACTGTACAGAATTACAGAGGAGCAGAGCAAAACAAATAGAACTACAAAACCACAGATACATAAAAACAAATCATCCAACAAAATGCTGCTTTCTATTAGAATTCATATAATGAGATACATGTATTACTTTTAAACCAGTGCTTTGTTTTTAATTTGATTTATCCAACTATTGTTTCTTGCAACTTTTGGGCAATGATCTATTTGCATGTATCTGTCTTTTATTTAGTGCTCATCATGATAGAATATGCTGGCATGATATAAACAAAATGAACGGTTTTCCATTCTCTCCATATAAAAGGAGAAGCAGAAAATAAACTGTTACGCAAGAAATGAATAAAACACTGGGAATGTTTACAACACTTGATGTATCTATGGAGTATTGGTGCCTGTGGACTGTAAGGTCATGTGACACACAGTGGAAAGAATTCTATGCAGCCAACCACTATTCTCTGTAAGGCAGTGAAGGTTAACCTTTACCACTCCAAATGTTCTGGACTACATTTCCCAGGATACTCAGACAACTATTTGGCTGAATGAGCATCTTGGAAATTAGGACTGCAAGAGCAGGAATTAAAAAGGTTAACGGGACACTATAGTTACCAAAACAACATTAGCTTAATAAAACAGTTTTGGTATATAGATCACACCTCTGTAGTTTTAGGAGTTAAATCACTTTTGTTTCTGATTATGCAACCCTAGCCACACCTCCCCTGGCTGTGATTGACACAGACTGCATGAAAACAAAATAGTTTTATTTTCAATCAAATGTAATTTACGGTACTTTCAAAGTTATTTTATCTCCTGCTCTGTAATTGAAACTTTAATTACATACAGGCTGACATTCTAAATTAAACAGCATTTGCAATAAAGGAAGTATAAACATTAGATCGCTCTTTACAGGAAGTGTTTAGGAAGGCTGTGTAAGCCACATACAGGAAGGTGTGACTAGGATTGTATAAACAAAGTGATTTCACTCCTAAATGGCAGGGAAATCAGTAGTCAGACAGCAATGGCATGATCTATACACCAAAACTGTTTCATTAAGCTTAAGTTGTTTCAGTGACTATAGTGCCCCTTTAACAGTCGCTGTTCTTAGGTGATCTGCCCTCACTGAGTTCATAAAAAAATGCATGTTCAGGAAACTGCATTTCACTGAATTGTATTTGGGTTCATGTTTGTAAGAAACAGGATAATCCTTTAACTGTACCAGTGCAGGATTATATCAGGATTATATCTTAGTAAAGGTAACGCAACCAACTTCTTAGCTGTCAACTCACACAAGCCTTTTATTGTAGGTTGAAATGCCATTCTTTGTAAAAGCTAAAAATAAATTGTCACTGTGTTGAGGTTTTTCCCTCTGTTTGATTCTTTGATCCAAAGGAATGGCACTTGTAATAGTAATGCGAGTTCACTTTAGTCATTCTTCAAATATTTCAAGGTTCTTATTAAATTCCAAAAATGTCTTGCAAGTGTTTGTGTCGTCTACTTTTATAATGCAGGATATCACTTTTTTTAACCTCTTAGTGACCAGACTGTTTTTAAATTTTCTTACCGTTAAGGACCAGGGCTGTTTTTACATTTCTGTGGTGTTTGTGTTTAGCTATAATTTTTGTCTTACTCATTCACTGTACCTACACATATTTTATACAGTTTTTCTTGTCATTAAATGATCTTTCTAAAGATACCATTAGTTTCATCATATCATATAATTTACTATAAATGTAAAAAAAAAATATTATGAAGAAATGTAAAAAACCACACTTTTTCTAAATTTGACCCCTAAAATCTGTTACGCATCTACAACCGCCAAAAAACACCCATGCTAAATAGTTTCTACATTTTGTCCTGAGTTTAGAAATACACAATGTTAACATGTTCTTAGCTTTTTTGCAAGTTATAGGGCTATAAGTACAAGTAGGACATTTCCATTTTTAAAATATTTTTTAATAGTGACATTGTAGGGGCGGAGCCTTTCCCGAACCCGTAGAGAATCTGCCAAATACCCACCAAACAAAGCCTCATCGAACCCCAACAAGCACCCAGTACTGACCGGCGATAAGTACCGCACCGATCGATGCCTTTTTTCCAGGCACCCAAGCAGACCAGGCAGAAGCGCAAACCTGTGGCCTACCGTGCAACTCCAATCCAAGACCTAGAGGCCTACCTCGGCGGAAGCCTCTGGGAAGACTACCCATCCAGTCGGGACACAGTCATGGGTCGCCGCTCACACAAAGCCACAGCTGGTCCCAACACACAAGGCAGAGACATAGGGGAGATGTGGCTCAGGCCTGCACAAACGGAGCCAGTACATGCCGTGCAACGACTCCCTGCGGACCGAGCACCCGACCCCGACGGGGGAGAGCCAGACGAGATGGCGGCCTCCCCGACGGGACACCCACTAACACCGGAACCCCGGGATGATTCAGGGGACCTAAAAGCCCTCCTGACCAACAAACAAAACTGCTAGCGGCCGACATCGCAAAGGTCAAGGCTGATATTCAAAGTGTGCAGGAGAGGGTTGGAACTGCAGAGGCAGACATCACCAACATTTAGGGCACAGTGTCCACCCTCATGGACTCGGTCAACCGACTCCAAGCAGAGCAAAACGTACTAGCAGGTCAAATCATGTCCCTGGAGGACAAACAACGACGGAAGAATATCAAAATCAGAGGTGTCCCCACCACAATAACGACTGAGGAGCTACCGCATTATACGCGGAGACTGCTCACAACACTGCTACCCCAGGCATCCGCCAAGAAAATATCAATCGACGGGATATACAGAGTGACAAGCTCCACACACTTACCATCCAGCATGCCCAGGGACATCATTCTGCGCCTGGCGTCGGTACCTGACAAGATACAAATAATGACCGCCATTAAAGGCAAAACGCCGCTGGCATTTAAGGCACTCAGCTCTCTTTCTTCCAGGATGTCACCAGAGCCACATTGTTAAAGCGGATGACCTTTGGACCCGTGACCATTGCGCTGCGCAAAGCAGGCATCGCCTACAGATGGGGGAACACTGG